TGCTTTTAAACATTAGAATGCATGGTCATATAGATAAGATAGATAGATACCACCTGCAGCAGAGTATCTTGGCAAAATGCTGAAAATAACACTTCTGAAAGTCCATCACTAGTGAATTGACCAAATTCACTATATAAACTATGTAGCCATCAAAAAGCATGAATTTGGGACCAGCAGATGGCATATTTATGTCACTGGACTCCCACGTAGTTGACCGCAGTTGGAGTCCCAGGTCTTAAACTCACACTGGGCGCATGTGCGTGCATGCCCAAAATCCCGAGAGGAGAATGGAGGAGAAGGGATTGTGGTGTGGCCATTCTCCCCTGGGGGGCGACTTCTCGCTTTCTGTCTGTCTCTCTCTGTCTCTCCAGCGAGCACATGTACCCTATAGCAAAAATCTTTCCAAAAAAAAGAAAGCGTGAATTTGATTTCTATGAACCTACAGGGAGTTCCATATTAAATAAGAAAGGCAAGTTGTAGAGTATGTATATTGTTCTCCCACTTTTAGAAAACAAAATAAAAAATCTCTCTGTGAGTCATTTTAGTATGGTTGAGTTCTAAAAACGGCTAACAGTTCCTCCAGGCATGTGACTAGAGAGGACATGATAAATAGTGTGAACAAGTATCTTGGTTTTATTTTACCTCCTTCAATAACCAGGTTTTACTTTGGCAATATTAAGTCTAGTAAGAAAGTGATGATGCTGGCAGGTGGCATGGTGGTTAAGCACGCTGGACTCCCACATGGCCGACTGAGGTTCGAGTCCTGGACCTGGCAGCTTGCTTTCTCACTTTTTCTCTCTCTCACTCTGTCCATCTCTGGTCAAATTAAAATTAATACATAAATAAAGTTAAATAAAAGAATTTTAAAAAAAGAAAGTGATGATGATCAACACTCATCTTAGGAGGCCTGATGGGAACATATGCCAAATGAAAAAAGGCAAGTTGCAAATATTACAGCCGATATTACAATCCAATCTTATTTATTCTAGTGACGTGCGCATATTACATGAATGTAAGGAAATGGCTGCTTCCACATACACAAATTCAGTGTTCTATCTAGTGGGAGAATTATGGAGGCTTTTCATCTTGTAACCCAAATTGTGTAAGCAAGAAAAATGTTCTTTTTGAAAGTTATAGAATGTAACTCTAAGGCAGCTATGGACTCTCCCACCAAAAACAGCACCCCAGACACAGCCACACAAAACCTCACATAGGAATCCAGGCAGCTCTAGAAGTCTCTGAAGCCCACTTATGGGTCACCAAGGTTTCTGATCCAGTAAATACATAGAAGTTTCATGACAGTAAAATGAGTTGAACTACCAATTTCTTCCTGAGAAGAGCTGGACCAGAGGGCAATCTTGGTACCAAAAAATGGCTGAACTCTCCTCTGTAGCAAGGACTCCAACATCCTTCCTTCCTTTTTTTTAAAGAGAAGGTTTTGTTATAGGGTGTGTGCGTCCACCGGAGAGACAGAAAGGAAGAAGTCACCTCACAGGGGAGATGGCCACTCTGCAATCCCTTCTCCTCCAGTCTCCTCTCAGAATTTTGGCCACACACACAAACGTGCACACGCACACGCGCATCTGGCCTGAGTTTTAAGCCGCCAGGTCCAGGACTCAAACCGCAGTCGACTATGGAGGAGTCCAGCGACGTAACCATTACACCACCTGCTGGTCCCCCAACATCCTTCCTTAGGCAAAATGCAGCTTAAACCTTCTACACTGCTCCTGCTATGTGGGCACCTACCTGTGTGTGAGTGATGAGCTGCTGGCCTTGAAACCAAACCATCGAAGCCATTAACTCTCAAAAGGGGAAAAGATAGAGCTATGAGGGTGTGTTTTTAGAAAGAACATTCAGATGTTTCATAGTGAGAGCAACTGTTTCATAATACAAATTGTCTAGTAGGGAGTGTGCCAAATGGAACTGAGCTCTAGAGAGGTAAGAGCAGTAGCTGGGAAGGCAGGCCGATTATTCTCTTTTGAACCATGTTTCAGTAATTTGAACTTTATCCTGAAGGCCAATGGAGGAATTTAAGACTTCAATCCTGGAAGCAACATGATTTGAGTCTTCTTAGGATTACTTTGGAGAAAGAATGGGAGAGAACAAGACAGAAGTCAGCACTCCGGTTAGGAGCTGTTGCAGGACTTCAGTTCAAGGAATAATGGTTCTTGGGCAGTGAGGGTAGGAATATGTCAGTGGTTTGGGGAAAGAAATTCCTGAGGTAGCAGGATACTTGCCCTTATTAACTTGGGGGTGAGGGAGCCAAAGTGGATCCAAGCTAGATTCCCAGGTTTCTGGCTTGGCAACAGGAAGAAATATATTGAAATATAAAATGCTGGAAGCCGTACTGGGGCATGTGGAGGGGATGACAATAAGAGATCCTAAATACATGATATTTTTCTTTCCACGAACACAGATGATTGACAGAAGGCCCAGGAATGGATTCCAGGGTTGACACTCACTTCCCAGTCTCCTGCCATGCTTTTCAGAGAAGCATGACAGCGTTGGCTGCGCTCCCGCTCTGGCCCATCCACTCCCCTCTACTAGAAAGCCTGTCCCCTTTGCTGTCCTTCTCCCTCACTCACACTACAGGGACAGGAGTACGCTTAGCAAAAGTCGCGGTGAGAACAGTAATACTGGCCTGAGAGTGGAACTGAATGATGACCAGACAAGATGCATATTAATAATCGATATATATCTTTTTATTATGCACAGATAAAGAACTTAAAACTGTGGTTATCAAAGCTATACATCTAAGCATATTCACGAAATTGCTGACACACTGAACAGAGAAAAGAATACAACAGGGGTGTTCAAACTGGCCACAGGGATTTTCAGGGCACTCTTTTTACCCTTCTAGATGATGAAAAACAGCAACAAAATCAGGCTCATTCAGGAAAAACCAGAAGAGAGGAGTATTGTATTTAGAAACTGATAATAGTCCTTTATAGAAAAACATCTGTCAGTTTCATGAACAACCCCCAGAGAAAACAAACAGGAAAATAATTTCATACACGACTCACCCAACAAAATGTGCTCTGTTAACGCAACCAGCAGTACAACCATCATTCAAACCATGAGGTAGTTACAGAACAAAAAGACTGGCACGCGTGCGCGTGCCCCACGCACACTCACAGTCATGCCTGCTAAGAACACACAGAAACGGACTTACAATCTTATTACAAGACAGGGAAAAGACCATTTTTGTTGTTGTTATTTAGAAAATGCTATAGAAACAGCTTAGAAGAAATATCTGACTTTTAAAAATGCAGAGTAACAGCTGGTAAATACACATGGTGAAAAGCTGTAAGATATTACATGATCTGCCTTGGAGTTTAGCACATTTTAACAATGGTTTTAGCCTCAAACAAACAAAACAAAATGGCCTCTGTGAATTAAGTGTGTAGCCTGCAGAAATAACAAAACACTTTGTAGATAGACAAGTTCAATGGGAATATAATAGGTTTAAAGACATTTGCAGAATGTATTATAAAAGTAGAGCTTGTATTTTGTGTTAAAACTGTGATGTGTGAAGCAATCAGAAATGCTGTAACAAGAAGTTAGGGAGGAAAAAACCCTATTTTTGAATGTTTATTTAACGACATTCACTCTCCAATATGGGATCAGGTTTCATCAACACAGATTTCTTGACCTAAATAATACTTCTGACAATGAGATTCAAACAAATAAATGGTGATTTTCTTTCTCTCTCTCTCTTTTAAAAATCTTTTGGTTTGCATCTATAAATTTGTAAATTAAATTATTTATAAAATCACTGGCAATGTAGCATCTCTCAAAAATATACATTTCAATATATTACAGAAGGTTTTAAGCCTGTCCATCTAAGACATGGATCTTTTAATACCTCCTAATTTTCTTTTTAATAAGATGGAAAGGATTTATAAAAAGCAAAGAACTGATCAAAAGAATTCACAGTAACTGAAATTAAACATTTCATATGGAGTAACTTAAATTTATCTAAAACACTTAAATATATCTTTATACACAAATTTTTGTAGTAAAATATAGCTATAAGTGACTTAAAGACTCTAGTCTTCTCTGAAGACATCTTTAAAATTTTTTTTTTATACATAGAATATGCTAAAACAATACATTCTGCTGAAGGTTAGGCAAAGCGCATTATTTTCAAACACAGGTAGCGTAATCTAGGTCCTCCACTCAGATACCCTCATGTTAAAAAAGAATCAACAAAAGAAAAAAAATTCATTCATATGTGGAAGTGTGACATTTTTTTCAATATATTGATGCAGACAGCCTAGAAATCTCAGCCCTCAAGTAATCTGTTTTGGTTAAAATGATCCCGATTGAACATCTACATCTATCAAACCAATCAGATTATGACTCAGTGATTCAGTAAGAACGATTGCTAATCTCCACCTAATTGTACACCATGTAGACACAGCCCGAAGGTTCTGACTTCCATCATTTCCTAATTAAAATTCCATTTACAGTGAATCAGGCGCAACTCCCTTATTTAAGGGCAGCAAGATTTGATTATTAATATTTTGGGATAGAGGCTGACTTGTTCTACTTCTAGAATTCCAAATCAGTTGGGAGGAATTTTAGGAAAAGAATACTATTTAATTTGCAATGAAGCTGTCTTTGGCAGTAAGAGATATGCCATGGAAATTTCCCTCTGGCATTCTTTCTCAACATAAGGTATCACTGAACTTATTTTAGCTGCAAAGTGGCATCATATTCTTCCATCTAATCAAATTCATCTCAAATCCTTTTTGGGTTTGGGATTCATTTAAGGCAAAGGAACTGTCTTGGCAGAATTGGTGACACTATTCAGATAACCAACTGGAATCCAATAGGGTCTGCCATGCGTTTGCATCTCACAAGAGCTTGCTCTTTAGCCTATTGGAAAGGTTGACATGTTTGGAGAGGAAACACTCTT